TTTTATCGCTTTGTCAAACCTTTTTCCACTCAGTAATGTTTTTTATCGGTGGGCCTACAGAGTTTAACTCCATTTCTGCGTTCCGCCAGAAACGGGCAACCTCCTCTTTGTTGCCTCTGTGGAACCCGCGCGCAATATCGGGGCTTGCTTCCATTAGGTTTATTAAAATGGTTTGCTGTCTTTTATTCGTTGTTTTCGACCTGAAAAATATCAAACAAATCATTTAAATCAAGCAATTTTAAATTTAAAGGAGAATTACTTACATTTTTTATACAAGCTCCCTTTTAAATCTTTGGCGGAACTTCTCCCGAAATACCCAAGCCAATTTTCTCCTTTTTTGACATTCTTGATACCTACTTTTTTCCCGAAATAGATTTTCCCTTTTTCGAAGTTCGTTTAGAATAGGAGGAAAAGGAAAATAGAAAAAATCCTCAGGGAATTTTTATTCATGATAGGAGGAAAGAGAAAAGAGGAAAAATTCCTGGGGAGTTTCTGTTCAGAATCGGGGTGTATATAAACCGCGGTTTTGCGAAACACAACCGCAAACTTTTGACCAATCGTTATTTGTCAGTACGGTAATTCCTTTGCAGTTAACTGATGACTTCGGAACGATTTTGTGGAAAAACAGAGCACCACAGTCTATTAGATTTTGTAGACCTCTAAAAATCCAATTTGCTAAGGAAAGCAAAGAACTTATTTTAAATGAAAAAAGGCAACTAGACTTGCAAATTCAAAATTTGGTCCCCCATAAGTGTGAAATGGTCAATAGCGGAATAAATGTTTTTTATGATTTACACTTGACGCTGATAGATGGAAAAGTATTGAACATTCTTACAGAAACAAACTCTTGCCAATTATGCCCTATATGTGGCGCAAAGCCAAAACAAGTTTCCGCCATTCATGATGTAAAATCTGAAGTTTTTAAGCCAAAACCGAACACACTTCAATACGGCGTGAGTCCACTTCTTGCGTGGATCCGTTTCTTCGAGTTTGTGTTAAAAATAGGGTACAAAACTGAAATAAAAAATGGCGCGTAATAGACGAGAAAAGCAAAGCTGTTGTAATGTCTCGCAAAAAGGAGATTCAAGAATAAATTTGGGTTGAGATGGGACTGCATGTTGATAAGCCTAATCAAAATGGATCAGGAAATACAAATGATGGCAACACAGCCAGAAGAGCCTTTTCTAATGTCAACATGCTTGCTTCAATTCTGCGGATGGATGCTGAGTTGCTTCATCGTTTTCACATGATTTTAATAGCACTTTCTTGCGAACTTCAAATAAACGCAATGAATTTTCAAGAATATTGTGAAAAGACGGCTTCTTTATATTTCACAAAGTATAGTTGGTATCCCATGTCACCAACTGTCCATAAGATATTGGTGCATGGATCGGACATAATCGAGAAATCTATACTGCCGGTTGGCTGCCTGGGCGAGAACGCATCAGAGGCTCGCAATAAGTATTATAAAAGTGATAGAAGGTCACATGCCAGGCAAAATTCCAGAATTAACAACCTTACTGATGTTTTTCATAGAGCTTTAGATTCCTCAGATCCGTTTCTTTCTAGTCTTAGCGTTAACAAAAACGATAATCACAAAAAGAGGCAAATACCCAATGATGTAATTATAATGTTACAAACGCCATCTTTCTTAGAAACAAATGAAGATTGCCTTGATAAATCTGTTGGTGATGTAGACGCTCAAGACGTTCATTATTTTGACATAGAATTAGAACTACATGATGAGTAGCAAATAAAAAAGTTTGTTTTATTAAATTTCTTATCTCCTTATTGTATCTTAATTAAGACATTCTTAACATATTTATGTACATAAGCCATGTAATAAAATATATGCATTGCTACATTTTACAGCTTGTTTTATAAGTTTTTGCATTAAAAACAATTCAGAACCTGAATTCTGAATTCGGGGTCAAGACGTGGCCCAATCTGTCCAAAACAATTTCCATGACTTACCCATGATATGCTAAGCAAATGTACCAAGTTTCAAACTTCTACCTTTATTTTTCGAGTTTATGCCAAAAAAAGGCGATCCAGACCATTGTGCAATTGCAGGAAATTTTGTTTATAAAAAACTAGAGATCCACTTACAGTGACGACCAAAACTGTAACATGGTGTAACACTTTTTATTTCAGCCACTGCTATCTTTCCAAGTTCTAACGACTTTCATACTTCTGTTGTATATTCTTATTGGTACACCTGTACTTCTCCTCTCATAACGAATTGAAGTCAATCCAACAACCATAATAAAACCAGCAGACAAAAATGTATATTAAGGTATATGTTACAGTTTTGCACTTATATATTTTTAACAACTTTTTGACAATTTTCGCGAAAAAAAGAATTGTTAACACAATGTTCAGAATACTTTTGTTTTTTTTAGTTCCTGGAAGCAATTTGGCATAC